CATCGATGTGGGTGGAATAGGTGAGGGGTACAAGGACTGGTCTTTGGAGCAGGTGTGCAAGGAAAGTGATGGGAACAGGGGAGGGTGTCCTGGGGTGCATGTGTGGGAAGCTTGTGCGTATGTGTGCATATGGGGGGATCTGATGCTGGGGAGATTAGGAGTGTGCAAGGAGTCACTTAGAAAGAGTGTGTAAGAAGGTTGGGGCTCAGAGGGTATTTTCTGGGAGCTGATGTTGCCTGAGGCAAGTATGCAAGGCGTCTCTTGGGAGATGAATGCATATAGATGGAGGTGGGGGTTGGGCTTGTCTGGATGGGTAACTGTGGCCAGGGACTTGGGTATTGAGAGTGTGCAGGCTTGGGGGTGGGGGGAGCAGCACAGGAGGTGTGAACTAGAGTAAAATGCAAAGTGTCATTGGGGAGGGGTCTGAGGGGAAGGGATGGTGTGTGAACCTGGGATGGGAGTGTAGTTCATGGGGCAAGTAGGTGTGTAAGGCACGGTTTGGAATAAGTGTGCAGCAGTGGGAGGGGCTGCAGGTGGGCTTCCTAGATTTCCAGTTGTGGTTTTCCTGTTCTCCTTCATCCCGGGTTCTTTGGCTTTTCCTCTCCAGATTTGCCTCTCATCTTTTTTAAAAAATATATTTTATTGATTTTTACAGAGAGAAAGGGAGAGGGATAGAGAGTTAGAAACATTGATGAGAGGGAAACATCAATCAGCTGCCTCCTGCACGCCCCCTACTGGGGATCGGGCTTGCAACCAAGGTACATGCCCTTGACTGGACCCTTCAGTCCTCAGGCCCACGCTCTGTCCACTAAGCCAAACCAGTTAGGGTTGCCTCGCATCTTTATTCCCTAGCCTTTGGCTCCGTTTGTCTTCCATCTGATTTCCGACTCCCCTGCTCTCTAACTGTCTATCTCTCGCCAGATCCGACACACCTCTGGCCTCTGCTATGGTCTCTTTTAAAAAAAATTGTCACTTTTATAATTTTTTATTCCTTATCTTTTATTTCTCAAACATGGTTTCCAGGTCATTATCTATATCTATAAAAAAGGATAATATGCCAAAGTGTCCCCATGGGAGTTCAACCGAGAGAACAGGAGTTTGATTGCTTGCTATGATGTGCACTGACCACTAGGGGGCAGCACAGAACATGGTGGGCGACCATCCGTGGCAGCAGGGGTGCTGAGGGAGTGAGGGAAGGAGGAGGTGGGGAAGCAGGGAACCTGATTGGCCCTGATCGACCAGGCCTAGGGACCCAATCCGTGCACGAATTTCGTGCACTGGGCCTCTAGTTGTTGTATAAGAAACCACTACAAAAATTAGTAGCTTAAAATAACAGCAATCATTATCACTCACGGTTTCTTTGTGTCAGGAATTTGGGAAGGCTTCAGTGGGTGGGTCTGCCTCAGGTCTTTCATGAGGTTGCAGTGAGCCAGTGTAAGATCTGGAACAGTCAGGGTGGTTAGTGTCTCTCTTCATGTAGTCTCGGGGTTTCTACATGTGTCTCCCCATGTGGGCTGGTGTGGGCTTCCTTCCAGCATGTTGGCTTCAGGGCAGTTGGACTATTTCTGTGCCTCCAGTCTCCAGCAGGAGCGTCAGCAACACAGGAGCTGCCTCACCTTCCTGACTTAGGAATGAATTTTGTGGAATCAATTCCACTACATCTATCAATTATGAGTGAGTCACAGTCTGTCCAGATTCCAGGAAAGGGGACACAGAGCTCTCCCTTGACGGGAAGAGTATCAGTCACACTTTAAGAAGAGCATGTGGGATGGGAGAGATGATTGTGGCCATTTTTGGGGAAAACACAGCCTGCCACATTGTTGCTGTAGGCATCACTCTGATATTGTGTCTATTTGGTCTTTTATCTCTCATGTTCTCATTCATGGTTTCTTCTATGCCTGGTTATCTTTGACTGCATGCTGGTCATCATATTTGAAAAATTATTTTGAGGCCTAGAATGAAGGTACCTTCCTCCAGAGGATTTAGTTTGCTTCTGTGAACTGCCTAGGGCCATTAGCAGTTAAAGATCATTTAAAATCTAGTTCAAGGTTTGAAAGGTTAATTATTCTGTGCCTCATTTTCCTCATCTCTGAAATTGGAATAATTCCTGCCTCAGGGTCATTGTGAGGATCAAATGAGTTAGAATGGTGGCATATACTAATACACGTATACTAGAGGCCCAGTGTGCACGAAATGGCGTGGTGTGCGAGTAGCTCGCTTCTGTTTGCCCAACGCTGGTAGCTCGTGCCCTGCCCTCCGCCGCTTGTAGCTCGCACCCTGCCCCGCCAGCCCTGAGAGCCGCTGCTCGTTGGGTCGTCACCACATTAGGGCCACGGGCCTTTTATAATATTAGATCTTATTAGTCACCTGGAATCCCCAGTGCCCAACTGTGCCTGACCCAGTGATGCTCCACTTTTAGAATATATGGATGAATGAACACATGGTTGTATCCTGTGGGGAAGGGGCTCAGGCTTCAGGAAGCAGGGAGAGCAGAGGGGATGCCGGAGTCACTGATGCCCAGCACCTCCACAGACCAAGACTTGGGCCCAGGGGGATGTCCAGGGGGCAGGGGCCACCTCCCGCCATGCCTTCCTGCTTGGGGTTCTGGCTGTAGGACTGGGCGTATGCACACGTGGCAGCCCTGGTGACCCTGGCTACCTACCTTGCCTCCCGGGACCTGCCCTAGCAGCCCCCGCCATGAACCAGGGGCCGGTGAGCCAGAGCATACATTGGTAGAGTGAAGAATCCAGGTGGATGTGGCAGTGTTAGCATCCAGCAATGGGACAAGCTGGACAACTGCCTCCCGCCACCCCCTCCCCTTTCCTGTCCACTGCAGTGTGGGATTAAACACCAGACACTCTTGTAGTCAAAACTGTATCCGTCTGTGTGTGTGTGGGGGGGGGGGGGTGGGGGGCTGGGAGCACCTGACAGGCTGTCCCCAGGGTGCTCCCGGACACCTCAGAGCTGGAGGAGGAATCTGAGGGGTGGAGGATTTCCAAGTTGCAGAATGTTCTCTTTACAACTGAGGGTGATCAGCAGAGAATTAGAACCGGGTGCCAAGGACTTACTCCTCCACACATTAGGTGTGTGACCTTGGCCTGAGCCCGAGTGACTTCACTTTTTGTCATCTGCAAAATGGGACGAATTTTCCCCTCCTGGGAAATGGGTCACACAAGTAAAAGGCAGTCTCCTCTTGGGCTCTTTCAACACATGGCAGAAAATCAACTCAAGATCACCTTACACCCTTACACACAAAACACACACACACACACACACGGGAAGATAAGGTAGAGCAGGATTCAGGACTCAAATGAAATCAATGTTGATTGCTCCAGCTTCTTGGCTCCATTCCACGCAGGCTCCCCCTTCTGGAGGAGAAAAATGGCTGCGGTAACTCAGAGGACTCCAGAGGCCCCTTTCCCAGGGGCCCACTCAGAGGCAGCCCCAGTTGAATCACACGGCCTGACACTGGGGTGTGGGTGGGGAGAGAATGGAGCCTTCCTTAAGGTAATATCAAAGTGCTGGCTTCTGGCAGGTAGATTGGAGTTCTGCCATGAACAGCGCTTTGCAGAGGGGCTGATATGCTCACTAAATGGGGCTTACTATGACCAAGCAATGAGGGACAATTTGGTTTTCTCACTCCGTTCACTGCCATCCCAGTGGATCTTCCTAGAGCACTTCCCCATTTGGCATTCTGCTGAGCATTTCATGGAGCACAATTTCAAGCTAGACATATTTATGCATTTCCTCCCTTTCCAGGATGAACATGGCACTGCCCAAAGGGGCAGTTGTGGGAACTTCGAGCTAGTTCAAACATGTGAAGCCTGCAGCACAGGGCCCATCACGAACCCCCAAACATAAGCAGCCAACGGGACCTGGCAACCAGGTGGCCCACTTGTAGGAGTTATTCCTTGATGCTCACATATTCTTGGTTCCTGCCCACTAAACAAAAGGATGGGGAACAGTCAAACGGCAACTAAAAATGTCCCGTGTATTTCCAAATGCCCCCTAGGGGGTGCTACCAGCCCTGAAAACCAGCAGACCTGTCATATCCCTGTGCGGATGGGGAACCACAGTAGTGTGCTGGCCTCCCTGGGTTGTGAATATCTAGGGCCTGGGGCGGGGCTGAGCGGGACCCATGATCCACTGCTGACAGCAAACTGGCTTCTGAGCTTTTCTTCATCTTAAAATGTGGACTTTATGCCCTGACCTGTTTGGCTCAGTGGTTAGAGCGTCAGCCTGCGGACTGAAGGGTCCCGGGTTCGATTCCGGTCAAGGGCACATCCCCAGTAGGTGTGCAGGAGGCGGCTGATCGATGTTTCTAACTCTCTATCCCGCTCCCTTCCTCTCTGTAAAAAAAATCAATAAAATATATTTTAAAAAATAAAATAAAATGTGGACTTTATAACAGCCCCACCTCACTGGGTTATTGGGCTCAGAGACAGACCCTTTCCAAGCCATGTTCTCTCCCTGACCATTTTTCCTTCTCCTGTCCTCATGTGCTCAGCTCCAGCCACACTGGCAGCCTTGCTGGTCCTCCACTTCCATGGGTCTCTTTCTGGGGCTTGTCCCCATGTCTATGAGCCTGCTGCCCGGCTTCCTCCTGGCTTCCCTCAGCTATCTATGAAGGTGTCCCTGACTGATGTATTAAACTTGCCTTCCCTCAGCCCCCTTCCCCGCTTTTTTGTTTGATCACAGCATTTACCATCATCTGACTTTTTATTTGCCCATCACCCCAGTACTCCTCGAACCTGGGTTTCTCGTTCACTGCTGGGTCTTGTTCACTATAGAGAAGTGGGTCCTCAATAGATATGTTAGACTAAATGAATTCATTCAATAAATGTGCAATCCTAGTACTGTTTTCCCAGTGGAGGTGTCTGTGTTCCCCAACCCCCAACCGTCAGGGACTGCAGGTAAGTGCTCTCCTCAGGTGGCCAGGTCAGCGGCCCTGCAGCTACAGGCCCACAAGCTCCCCAGGCACACAAGGACGGAGAGGCAAGGCTGGGCTGCTGGTTTATTTTGTGCTTGAGGTAGTGGGTGGTGGCAGCGGGTGGGGCACCTTGCCCCAGCTTGCCTCAGCTCTTGGAGTAACGCCTCTGCAGCGATTCCCGGTAGAAGCGGAAGACGTGCTGTGAGGCGGCTTGGGCTGCAGCCAGGCACTGCTGGAGCTGGGTGGGGAGAGACTGGTCAGTGCGGGGGACGAGGGGGGCATCCCTGCACCTACATGGCCTGGCTGGCGCATCTGATTTCTAGAGCCCACAAACATACCACTTCCCCTGCACCTGGCCACCCTCCCCCCACCCCCACCCCCACCCCCAGGTGAGGCAGGCGGGGAGGGGATTATTCCAAGTGCATCTCCTTCTTCTCTACTGTAGGATCTTTTAGAGGGGAAGTGAAGGAAAAAAGAGAAAGTGAGGGGTTCAGGGACCAGCTTCCGGCAGCTCCAAGGCCTCACATCAACGGGATCAGGCATTCTGACAGCTGGAAGGGACCGTAGCTCAGGAAACTTAGAGCTCAGCTCATGGACCTGGAGAGATCCTAGAATTTTAGAGCCACAGGCCCCGTGACACTGAATAATGTTGAGAGCCATGGAATCTGAGACCCCAAATCTGTATTGCCACAAATCCCTAGATTCTCAGGAGTCCAGACTGGAAACGCTTTTGGAGACCATTTGGCCCAACAGTTTCCAAACTCTTCATACCTGGGATTGGGGGGGGAGGGGGGGGGAGCACTGCTCTGAACTGGAAGCTGGTGTGGGCCTTCAGGTGCTCCCACCTCCTGATTTCAACCTGAGCTCTTCTCCTCTTTTCCCGTCTCATTAATTGGGCTTCCCCTTTAAAATTCTCAGAGGTTTCTGTGGCTACAAAGTTTACAAACTCTATTTACAGAAGGAGTGCAAGGAGGGAGTTTTCCTTGAACCCCCGAGTGTAGGGCAGAGTTGGGACAACACATGGGGCGGGGCGGGGGGGGGGGCGGGGCTAGGGTTCACCCGCATCTGCATGCTGGTACCTCAGCATTGGAGTAGAGCCCCTTGGTGGTGGACATGAGCAGCTTCTGGTCCACACTGTCGAGTGCAAAGGTCAGGACTGCCCGGGCCTCCTAGGGATGAGGGAAGAGGGTGAGGGACCTGGATCTCCCCTCAGACACACTCTCAGGGGATCCCAAGAAGGGACTCGCCTTCCCTGCAGGCAGGTGCTCTTGCATGGAGTGTCTATATACCACCCCTCCTGGCTTCCTGCCTTTCCTCTGGATCTACACCTGCTTCCATCCACATGGTCCTGACAGGCTTCCAAGCAGTATCCCTGCCTGTAGGGTGGTCACAGCGCACATCATTTACCAGCGCCTCCTAGCTTCTCTGCTGGGAGACTGGCAGGAGGGACAGCATCCGCGTCCTTACTCTGATAGTGGCAGGTGTTGTGGTTGTGGCAGCTGCCACAGTAGCTGTGAGGGTGCGACAGGTTCTGGACTTCTGTAGCCAGTGCAAAGCCAGGATGTCTGTGCACCTAGAACTGGCTGCAGTGATGCCTTTAACAGCTTAAGTGCATGTTGGCTACAGGCTGCTGATCTCTGGGTGACCCTCCTTCTTCCTTTTTGCTCCTTCAGCTCTTCCAACACTGTTGTAACCAGTTCCCTGCATTAAACTCTCCGTGGGAAATCCTCCAGGTGGTTTCTGCTTTCCTGACTGGATGTGACTGGGCAAATAACTCAAAGTAACCACAGCCCGAGGGCACTGTGAGCTTGAGCGATGAGGAACGCTCCCTCCTCCTTTGCTTCTGAGCCTCTTAAGATGTAAGCACAGAGCTTAAGGGGCCAGTTGCAGCCTCAGGAGAGATGCTGACCAGAGAATGGATCTGATATGCAGAAAAGAGCAGCCTAACAAAGGAAGGAAATCCTGATGGCGTTTGAGGTCCTGGCTCTGGCTCAATCTCTGTTCTGAGTTTGGCATCGAATGTCAATAAATTCCTTTTGCTCAAGCAGTTTGAGTTGGGTTTCTTGCACTTCCCTGATGAGCAAAGCAGACCTTGCTAGTTGGGACTGAGCTGGTAGCCAACTGCTGTAGAGAAGCGTGGTCTAGAGAGAGGGACAGGGTCCCTCTTCTGGCAGGAATATGGTAGGCAGCCAGCCAGCCGCCACCATGACAGTCCTTCACCACCCCGGCCTTCATACCTACCTTTTCTTGCTTGGCTGTGGGGTCCAGCACGAGAGTCCCATCAGAGTCCAGGGCACAGGTGACCCCACAGAAGAGGGCTTGCATGGGCACACCTGCGTCGACCAATGCCATGCAGGTGGCGTTCAGGCAACAGGCCATGAGCTGAGTGCCACAGGGAATGGTTAAGAGATTCTACTGCAGGTCTGGCCAGCAGAGTGTGTCCTCGCCTCCACCCCCTGCCAGTGCTGTGGCTGCATCACTAACTGGTCACAGGAAGGCAGTGTGGCCGAGTTCCAAGTGGTTCCTTGGGTTCCAGAACTGCCTTTGTGACCTTGAGCAAGTGACTTACTCTCTCTGAGCCTCAATCAGGGAACATGATATTCACCAGTTATGTAATGGCCTGTGCCAAGCACCTGTAGGGAAACTGAGTGCAGAGAGGGGGAGAAACCTTCCAGATCACACGGGAGGTATTGGCAGAGCCAACCTGGAGCTTGGATATCTGGCAGGCAGGCAGGCGGCTGCCACCATGACAGCCTGGCAGGGACATGGAGGGAGGAGTCATTATCGCTGCCCGCAGGGAGCCCACCATCTGGGGGAGGGGTGTGGCTGTGGCGAGGTGGGAGGCAAGCCCAGGGCTGAGCCAGACAGCTGGCCCCACCTGTTTGCTCCCCAGGTCTATACAGCAGGTAAGGGCCCGGCTTTAGAACCCATCCATCCCACTTCTGCCACTGACCCTCTATTACTCCCTCCGAGCCTCGGTTTCCCCCTCTGTGAAGTGGGGCTACAACAGCTCTTCCTTCCTCCTGTCTATGAAATGCCCGTTTCTGGTCCTCAGCCTCAACCTGTCGCCCAAGCCATAGGGATCTCCAAAGATGAGCTGTTGGCCCAACTACTCTGCTTGCTCATGGCTCTCCCAGCATTGAGTCTCAAGCATAAGCTCAGGGTCAGAGTGCAGGTCAGTGGCACAGGCTTTGGAGTCAGGAGTGAGCATGAGTTTTGTCTCTGCTGTCTTCAGCTGTGTGACCTTGGACAAGTGACTTTCCCTCTCTGGGCCTAGTTTCCTCACCTGAAACAAAGGAACGTAAGAATTCCACCTGCCAGGGGCCTTGGGCTGTGGCACCAGATGACCTGGGTTCAAGTCCTGGCTCTGCCAATTACTAGTTATGTGAGTTGACTGTGCTGTGCAGATTAAATGGGTTAACATGTGTACAGCACTCAGAATAGTGCTTGACACACAGTAAGCACTCAAGCTGTTTGCTAATCTTTTTCAACAAGTTGGTGCCTATCAAGTGCTTGGAGCTCTTGTCCATCAGCAAGGGAGGTGATCAGGGAGATTCTGGAGAACTTCCTGGAGGAGGCAGCTTGGGAGAAAGGATACAGAGCCAGCATCGCTGATGACCTGCAGCACGATGGTGATGGAGGTGCGGGGGTGCAGCGCCCCCAGCACCACCGCTTCACACGTGTTCCTGATCAGCCGCTCCCGGCTCTTCTCTGCTACACCTGGGAAGTCAGGGGTGGGGAGGAGTCAGGCTCTTCCCTTTCTCCATATGCCCCACCCAGGCCTCTGGAAAGGACCTGCAGTCTCAGCCTGGGTTGGTGCAGGACCCTGCATGGATGACATGGATTCTGAGTGGGCAGGAGGCAGGGTCTGGCTGCTGCCCACCCCACCCCTGCCACCTCCAGCATCTAGCAAGGGAGCCTCCTGGGGGAGGAAAACCCAGAGTTCCCATGTCCCGTGCTACTGCCCAGGCCCATCCCAGTGGGCTCAGTCGCAGAAGTGAGGGAGATGGGAGTTAGAGGGCAGAAAAACAGGGCAGAAAAACAAATTAATGGAAAGAAGGGAAGGTGGAGCCAGGAAGGAGAGGAAGGGAAGACTTAGAGAAACAGAGAGAGGCAAAGAGAGGAGTAACAGAAGCACAGACACAGAGACTCAGAGGCAGAGTTGGAGACAGACAGGAACAGCTGAGGGGAAACGAGGGGACAGTAGACACTGGGGACAGCAGTGAGGGAGGAGCTGGGCGGGAGGTCCCAACAGAATGGACCTCTGGAGACCAATTACCAGGCAGCCCGATCTTCGGCCTCAGGATCACTTCCAGTGTGGCCTTGTTGAAGATCTCTTTGCTGACCTTCACCTCAGCTGGCCCGTACACGCCTGCCAGGACAGAGGTATCCCCTAGGGAGAGAGCATGGAGGCCTCACCCACACATGCCCTGCCTCGGGCCCACTGCGAAGCACTTAACAGTGTGGGTGCTGAGCCGGGTGGCCAGGGTCCCCCCTACCCCTATCGCCCTGGTCCACCATTTGTTGGCAGTGATTCTTTGAGCACCTGCTTCATTCCCTCCCTCCACTTCCTCACCTGTAAAATGGGGACATTAACAGTACCTCCCTCACAGCATTGCGAGGACGAGATAATCCATGACACTGCCTGGCACATGCTGAGTATGCAACAGGCTTTAGATAATATTATTAACTTTAATAGGAAGTTCTTAGCACCTTCCTTTTTTAAAATATATTTTTATTGATTTCAGAGAGGAAGGGAGAGGGAGAGAGAAACATCCATGATGACCTGCAGCATGATGGTGATGGAGGTGTGGGGGTGCCTCCTGCACACCCCACACTGGGGATTGAGCCGTAACCCGGGCCTGTGTCCTGACCGGGAATTGAACTGTGACCTCCTGGGTAATAGGTCGATGCTCAACCACTGAGCTACACCGGCCGGGCTAACCTTACTTCTTCTTACTGCAGCTGGTCTCGACTTCTCTCAGAGCTTCACCCAGCCCCACTCTCCTCCCTCACCCAGACTCTTGTCCCCAAACTCTGCGGCAGTCAGGAAACCTAAGAAAAGGATAAATCTCTGGGTGTGGGTCCTGGCTGCTGCTTAATTTCCCAGAGTGGGTATGGACCAGAGAAGAGAAGCAAGACCTGGGAAACCAAAAGCCTGGCTTGTAGTTCTTCCTGTCCGCCTCCTCCTGGCTCTGCTCTCTTGGCTGATTTTGATCACTTCTCTGGACCTCAGTTATACCATCTGCAAAATGGAGAGACTGGACCACAGCAGCGGCTTCCAAACTCTTCTGACCATAGCTCCCAAGAAATACATTTTACAGCGGGATTCAAAACGCCCACAGACCTTGTGTGTGTAAATGGAACAAAGGCCTCACAAAACACCTGACCATTACTGCTTTGATATGCTGATATTTTTCTACTCGATTCCAGCGGAAAAATGAATGCGGTGCTTCTCAGCCCTGACTGTGCATTAAAATCACCCCGAAGCTTTAAAGACACAGATGCCAGAGCTGCACAGGCCATTCCGATGTGTTGGGAGGAAGGGGGAACCTGCGACTGCGGTGTGAGGAAATGAGCTCAAGCAGTGCTTTCAAACTCTGGTCTGCAGTCAGCACCCCAAAGCACTTAGTGAAAAATGTGGAAGGCAGCCTTAGCAGGTGTGGGTGGCTTCAGGCTCTGCATTTTAAGCTGACCACAGGTTCCGAGGCCAGAAGCACCTGGAACACACGTTCAAGGGTCTTTAAGGACTCCCCTTGTGCCTGGGTCCCGGGGCTCTGGGGTTTTAGAACACGGAAGAGGCTACCCTTACCAGTGTTGCTAAGTTCTAAGACATCTGAGGCATCTGGATTTAGCAAGAGAGCTAAGCCTATGGGCGGGCCTGAGACAGTTCCCAGTTGGGGCTGTTTTTCCTGGGGTTGGGAGGGGGGACTGCTGCACTACCAAGGGCTTCTCTGTGTTCTAGGAGAATTTGCCCCAAGTGGGGAAGTTTCCTAAGAGAATTTGATCCATGCTGGGGTCTTCATTCCTGTTATTCCCGATGAGCTGTCTGTGGTACAGGGTCCCTCCCCTCTCACCTTCTCCACGACACGGCTCCAACAATTCTCTACCCACATCCAGCTTCAACTCCTGCCCCATAGATCTCATCCTCTTAAAGACAGACTCCCAAAGAGCTGTCTCTATTCACTGTCTCCTTTTCCTCCTTGACCCCACCACCCCACGGGAGCAGCTCTTGACAGCGCCCACACTGTTCAGTGCTTCGCATACATCCAAACTGTCAACCACAGGTCCGTTCCATCCTCACAGGATGCAACCTGTCAGTGGTTGGCCCCTACATCTCAAACACGTTCTCTGGGCTCCAGGTCACTGCCCCCTCTCGGTTTTCCGCTTCCCTTACTGGCTCCTTCTCAGTGTCTTTCTGTTAGCTCCTCACAGTGAGACGACTCAGGGCTCAGTCCTGGGACCTCTTTTCTTTCCCATCTATCCTCAGGTTGTTGGTGATTTCATTTAATCAGGAGCTCAAAATACTACCTATAGCCAGAGGATTGCGAATTGTATGTCCGTAATGGGTCTCACTTCTGAATTCCAGATTTGTATGTCCAACTGCCCAGGCCACCTTGACACTGTGATATCTCCTAGGCAACACAAACTTCATATTCCAACTGAATACCTCATCTCTCCCCAGCACAGCTGATCTGGGTAAAAAACTTAGTGCTGTCCCTTTCTTCTCAAACTCCAAAACCAAACCATCTGCAAATTGTGTCAGTTTTACCTTCAAAATACATCCAGAGTTTTACCACTTCCATTGCTTCCACTCTAGTCTGAGCCATCATCATCTCCCCATTTCCCCCATACCCTTTACAGGCAACACTGAAGCCAGAGACTTTGTTGAAATATATTCAGATCAGGTCACTCTTCTGAGCAAAACTTCCAATGGCTCTCATCTCACTTACTAGGCCTTATATGATGTGCAAGTCTCCTTACCTCTCTCCAAAACCTCCTCTCACTGCTGCAGCCATACTGGTCTCCCGACTTCCTCAAGCATACCAGGCAAGTTCTGCCGTAGGGCCTTTGCGCCTGCTGTTCCCCATGCTTGGTATACTTTCCCTCCTGATAGTTTCAGGGTTAGGTCTTTATTCAAATGTTGCCATCTCATTGAGGCCTTTCCTGACCTATTTAAGATCGCAACCCTTGCCCTGGCCGGTGTTCTCAGTGTTTAGAGCATCGTCCTGAGCACTGAAGGATTGTGGATTCAATTCCCGGACAGGGCACATACCCAGGTTGCAAGTTCTATCCCCGGTTGGGGCATGCATGGGAGGCAACCAATTGATGTTTCTCACATCGATGTTTCATTCTCTCTCTCTAGAATCAATGAAAAAAGAAGAAAAAAGAAAAAAAAAAAGGAACACACAAAACATATCCTTGAGTGAGGATTTAAAAAATGGTAACCCTCTCTGGCACACCCTATCCTCCTTCCCTACTGTATTTTTCTCTGTAGCATTTTACTTATTACTGTCTATCTTCTTTATTAGAGTGTAAACTCCATTAGGTCAGGGGTTTATTTATTTATTTATAGAGGAAGGGAGAGGGATGGACAGAAACATCAATGAGAGAAGCATCACCAATTGGCTGCCACCTGCACATCGCCTATTGGGGATAGAGCCTGCAACCTGGGCATATGTATGTCCTGACCAAAATTCGAACCAGCGATCTCTTGGTTCATGGTTCAACGTTCAACCACTGAACCACACTGGCCAGGCAGTGAAGATTCTTCACTAATTTAAAAAATATATTTTTTTATTGATTTTTTTTTTTGAGAGAGGAAGGTAGAGGTGGAGAGTGAGAAAAACATCGATGCTAGAGTGGAACATTGCTCTGCTGCCTCCTGCACACCCCCCTTGGGGATGGAGCCTAAAACCAGGGCATGTGCCTTGAGCGGGAATCGAACCAGCAATCCCTCAGTGCACAGGATGGCACCCAACCAACTGAGCCACACCAGCCAGGGCTAGGTCAGGGATTAAAAAAAAAAGTATTGCTATATTCTCAGTGCCTAGAAGAATACTTAGTACAAATACGTACCTCTTCAATGAATGAAAGCTGGTTTGTAACTGAGTAGAAGGTAGTGCCCTAGGGAAGGCACTAAGGCATCTTGGGGGTGATCATTAGGCCTATCTGCAGAGGAGTATTTACCTGGGTCAGGGAGTCTGAAAGGTATTTAGCTAGAGGAAGGGGATGGTGAGATCTACTCCAATCTCTGGAATATTTATTCATATGGAGAGAAGTGTATCCCAGTCAGAGGGGTATTTACCCAATTGGTGGGGTAGGGGTGGGGAAAATCTTTCTAAACCCAGGATGTGGACCTCACCCTCAATCTGAAAAGTATGTACTTGGGTGAAAGGTCTGCTAATGGCAGAAGTAGGCCGGGAATGGTGATCTGCCAATCTACAGGGGATTTATACAAATAGGCAGGTTTGCCTCAGTGTGGGATGTATGGACCCAGGGTATGTGTGTGGGAGGCGGAGAAGGGATCTAATCAAGGCGTTATTTACTCTGGTGAGATTTTTCCCTATTCTGGAGTATTCATGCTTGTGGGGAGGTCTGCTCCTCTCTCCGATATCTTCGGGAGAGGGGGAGGGGGAGGAGGAAGGGGAAGGAGGAGGGAGAGAGGTGAGGGAGGTACCCTAGAGTATCTAGTGGTATTCACCTGGGCAAGAAGAAGTTCTGTACGAGTCCTGGAGGGACATTTACCGGCTAGTATCAGAGGAGGTGGGCACTCCTTTGCAAGATACACCACAGCCATTCCCTAAAACAACTACGACCTGGATGAACGTGGCCCGGGCAGTATCCAGTTGGATTAAGTTCTCACCTTGCAGGAACGAGGCAGAGCCATCCGGCCGGGACAGCAGGTTCTGTTCGCAAGCAAAGTGCCGGAGGCTGCAGCCGGGACCCTGAGGACTGGAATCCGTTCCATGCTCAGTGTGGATCTTGGCCTCAGACTGCATGGCCCGCTCCCTCCGTCAACACCACGAGTGCAGTCGCTTCCGCACCGAAGCGCGCGCCGGCGTGTAGGCTGCGTCCCCAGTGCGCACGCGCCAATCCCCCGGCGCCAGTACCCTGGGCCCGCACGTGTCTTCCCGTTTACTAACAATTTGATCCCGCCCACTCCCGCCTCGAAATTCCAGAGAAGCCATTGGACAATGGAAAAGAGGGGGCGGTCCTTGGCCAGGGCTAGTCCTACCCGAGGCCCCGGGCCTCAAAACCGCGAGGCTCTGGCCAGGTTGTCCTCTTCTTTGCCTGTTATAAAAACAACTACGATGAGGCGACCAGAGTAATTTTGGGGGGAAACTAGTTCGTTTTACCCACTCATAGATGTATTATAGAAACATCAGGACTAGTAACAGGTGCTATATTTGCAGGGTGGTGCTGGCATTTGAGTCAGGCTCATGAAGGGGCAGCCCCCAGTATCGCGGAGGAGAGGGGCGGGTCACCACTGGGTTGTTTAGTCAAGATGGCGTTGGCGGCCGGTGCGGCGCGGGTCTGGGGACCAAGTAGAGGCTTGGGCCGGGCTAGCCTTCAGCTCCTGCGGCGGCTGGGCACTCGGGGGCTGGCTGTATCTGTGAGTACTTGAGGCACCAGGGCGTTTTCCCCAGGGGGAATAGGAATGTCAGTGCCGTCTTCAGAATGCGGGTCCTGCAGGGAGTGAAGGAAGGGCTGTCACAGGAGGGACAACTTGGAAAGAGTGAGGGGGTTCCTCTGTCGTTGCCACCCATCCCCAGGGAAGCGGGTGGCCACTTGGAGGGCCGCTTGGAGCGAGACCTTTGCCTCAGAGTTTGGGGAGTGAAACTGCCTTATGAGGAGGAAGGACTTCTCCGTAAGGACCCTCCCCTTCAAGAGGAGAAAAGGGAGATCAGGTCTCCAGTCACGGACTTTTTAAAAAATAGGGCCCTGTACTTATTTGCTCTTTTGCCGCAATTCTGATTTTAAAATGAGTTGCATAGAAAGTAGTTTGGTCCCGTGTCCCCCTCATCAAATGCCAGGACAAGGACCTTGTCTGTTGTGGTCAGACTGGAGGAGATGACCCGTGAATACTCGTTGAATTAGAGAGGAGGGGGAAAGGGGTCCTCAGGGGCCCTTGGCCCACATTTCTTAGAAACAGGTCTTATTGGAAGTCCCCGTGGGCTGCACTGAGCTATGAACTAAAATCCCACAGGAAGAGGTTCTCAACCTTCTGACCCTTTAAATACAGCTCCTCATGTTGTGACCCAACCATTAAATTATTTTCGTTGCTACTTCTTCACTGTGATGTTGCTACTGTTATGAATCGTAATGTAAATATCTGATATGTAGGATGGTCTTAGGCGACCCCTGTGAAAGGGTCGCCAAAGGGGTCGCGACCCACTGGTTGAGAACCGCTGGTTAGAAGGTTATGAAGCTCGGTCACGTTGGGTCCTATCCCTCATCTGCCACTTTCCAGCCGTGTATCTTGGGCCAGGGCTTGGTGCTCCCTGGGCCTACCCCTCACCCCCCCCCCCCCTCTAAAATGCTAACAGTGGCACCTCACGGGGTGGTTGTGAAAATTAAATATGTAGAATGCCAAGAACTGGTATACGATGTGGGCAGTAGGAATGCAGGCCGCTTTTGAAAGTGAGGCTGTAGGGAAGGGAGGGAGGAGAAAGGTGGTTTTTGGAGGGCCTGGATTGATGGGGCCCTGGAGGGAGATCTGTCAGGATCCTGTGGGGTTGGCCCTCCGACCCTCCAATCCAGAAGGAAGGGAAGCTAGACACTCTTGGAAGAAACCCTATGCGGGAGAAACGGGAGGAGGGTGCAGAGGATGGGCTGGCAAGGCGGGGCGGGGTGTTAGGAAGGTAAGCGTTGCTTGATGGGGGTGGGGCAGTCTCCTGCCTTTAGGTTGGTCTTTGTGGCTTTTTTTTTTTTTTTAGCAATCAGATCCTCTGTAGCCGCTGCTGTCAGTCCCAGGAGCCCATTGGCTGGGCCAGGGGGCGGGATGTGGGCAGGACTGGGGCAGAGCTGGGAAAGGTCATTCGTTTGATTAAATCAGCTTCCTTCTGGTTCAGTCTCCCTGCGGCCCTTCCCGGTTGACTCCCCTCTTTCATATTTTGGGGATGGGTGGAGGGAAGGAAGAGAAGGTCTCACAAAGTCCTACTTTTTATGTATGTATATTTAAAAATGTATATATTTTTGGAGCCTTGGTTTTTCTTCCCCACTTTTATTTCTCTTACTTGTTCTTTCTAAAATTAAAAAATACTTCTTTTTTTTTTTTGAATGGAGGGAAGGAGTGGAAGCATTTAGTCAAAGAAGGTTTTAGGCCAGGGCTGTCCTGCAGAACCTCTTGTGAAGATGGAAGTGTTCTGTGTCTGGGCTATCCAGTACAGTAGCCACCTGAGCACTCGCAACATGGGTGTGCCACTGAGGAACTGAAATGTTCATTTTACAGATGGTTCCTAACTTATGATGGTTTGATTTACAATTTTCCGATTTTACAATGGGGGAAGATGAAACACATTCGTTGTAAACCTTACTTTGAATTTTGATATTTTCCTGGACTAGCAATATGTGGTTGTGCTGGGCAGAGGCAGCGGCTATAGCTCTCAGTCAGCCACAGGATCACGAGGGCAGACAACCGCAGTGTACTGTGGCCAACATATTTTGGATATTGTGTTTTGTGTTTTCACATCCCATGATGTCTACAAAAGGCCCATCTATGTCTCCTGCTTCTGGTGAAGAAAAACTCTTTTTTTAAAAAAAAATTAAATCTTGCCCAGCTGGTATGCTTAGCAGTTGAGCATCAAGCCAGGAACCAAGAGGCCACTGGTTCAATTCCCAGTCAGGTCACATGCCCAGGTTGTGGGCTTGATCCCCTGTGCAGGGCGTGCAGGAGGCAGCTGATCAATGATGTTTCCCTCTCATTGATGTTTCTCTCTTTCCCTCTCCCTTCTTCTCTCTTTAAAAAATCAATAAAATATATTTAAAAAATTAAATCTTTATTGTTGAGAGTATTACATATGTGCCCTTTTCCCTCCCATTAACCCCTTCTAACCCACCCTAGGCCTTCACCATCCTATGGTCTGTGTCTATGGGTTATGCATATATGCATTCTTTGGATGATCTCCCCCCCACCCCTTATCTCTGGGGTTCCACAGCCTGTTCTATGCTTCTATGTCTCTGGATCTATTTTGTTCATCAGGGTTTTTTTATTCATTAGATTTCACATAAGAGTGAGATCATATGATATTTGTCTTTCTCTGACTGGCTTATTTTGCTTAGCATAATACTCTCCAGGTTCCTCCATGCCATCTCAAAGGGTAAGAGATTATTCTTTTTTACTGCTGCATAGTATTCCATGGTATAAATGTACCACAGCTTTTTAAAAAATTATTATTTTTTAATATATTTTATTGATTTTTTACAGAGAGGAAGGGAAAGGGGTAGAGAGTTAGAAACATCGATGAGAGAGAAACATTGATCAGCTGCCTCCTGCACACCTCCTACTGGGGATGTGCCCACAATCAAGGTACATGCCCCCGACCGGAATCGAACCCGGGACCCTTCAGTCCGCAGGCTGATGCTCCATCCACTGAGCCAAACCGGCTAGGGCTACCACAGCTTTTTTATCCACTCATCTACTGATGGGCACTTGGGCTGTTTCCAGATCTTAGCTATTGTAAATTGTGCTGCTCTGATCATAGGGGTACATACATTCTCTCTGATTGGTGTTTTGGGTTTCTCAGGATATATTCCTAGAAGTGGAATCACTGGGTCAAATGGCAGTTCCATATTGAATTTTTGAGGAAACTCCATACTGTTTTCATAATGGCTACACCAGTCTGCATTCCCACCAGCAGTGCACTAGGGTTCCCTTTTCTCCACATCCTCACCAGCACTTGTCATTTGTTGATGGTATCCATTCTGCAGGTGTGAAGTGATAACTCATTGTCATTTTAATTTGCATCTCTCTGATGATTAGTGACTTTGAGCATGTTTCATATGCCTCTTGGCCATCTGTATGTCCACTTTGAAGAACTGTCTATTTAGGTCCTTTGGATGGCAGTTACCTCTTGAGATGAAACTCAAGATAATGCCCAGCTATAGGTTAATGTAAGTGTTCTGAGAACATTTAAGGTAGGCTGTGATGTTCAGTAGGTTAGGTTTTTATTTTATTTTATTAAATATCTATTTTTTCTATTTCTACTTTTTAAAATAGTTTATTGAGAGGAAGGGAGAGGGAGAGAGAGAAATATCGATGTGAGAGCAAAACATCAGTTGGCTGCTTCCTGCATGCCCCATACCAGGGGATGGAGCCCGCAGCCCAGGCATGTGCCCTGACCTGCAATTGATCCGGCAACTTTTTGGTGCATAGGATGACACCCAACCGAGTCACACTAGCCAGGGGAGTAGATCAGGTGTTTTAAATACATTTCAATTTATGATGTTTTCAATTTATGATGGGTTTATCAGTACTTAACCCCATTTTAAGATAATTAGCATCTGTATTTAATTTTAATGAATTGAAATTTAAATAGCCACAGGTGGCTGCTGGCTGCTATATTGGATGGTGCAGTTTTAGCTGATCACAGTGGAGCCAGGCGATAGTGCCTTGGGAGAAGGTTGGGAGGCTGTGTTGCAGTGGACTGGTTGGGTTGTTGGAACAGGCTGGATTGGGAGGAAGAGTGGGGCTGCCTTCTCCCTGCCTGCTTGCCCTTCCTTTTACCTCGGAGGCGTTTGCCTGGTTCTGTCTCCCTTCCTCCCCTTCCAGTTGCTGGCAGATGTGTTAGTGCTCAGGGAGAAGAGAAAGGAGGAAAACTTGATTGTCAAAGTGTCCTGAGTCAGTTTCTCAGCCACCATCCCAAGAAGCAAGTGGGACCTTGGCCAAGATGCTTCACTTCTCTGAGCTTAGCAAGTGGGTAACTAGAGTCCCTGCCCTGTTGGAAATTAGGAAGCACCTAGATCAGTGATGGCGAACCTTTTGAGCCGTGTCACATATAGAAATTTTTTGATATTTGCAACCATAGTAAAACAAAGACTTATATTTTTGATATTTATTTTCTATATTTAAATGCCATTTAACAAAAAAAAATCAACCAAAA